CTGTTTCTTTTTTTTTTCATTTAAAACATAATTACTTCTAAATTATTATAATAAGACCATATATTTTACCCATGACTGATTACATTTGCAGATAATCTATTGTATAAATAGTCTACAGATTAAATTATTGTATGCAACGTTAAATGTTAGTTTGATGCGTGGCTTTTTGCTCAAGGTAAAGGATAAATACGGTTTTTTTTTTAATTTGTTATAATATTTTGTGTACTTATTGGGTAAAATTAGTATGTTAATTATTGTACTTACTTAACTTAGGTATTTATAATAATAACTTTTTGTTTTATTGTGCTCATTTTGTTTACTAAATATAAATATAGTTTAGCGATAAATTATATACAAATACTTTTATGCAACTGGCAGGTGGGTGATGATAATTTTTTTTTTTTATTTTTTATTTTTTTAATATATATATTGTCTTAAATACTTACGTATATATATCTATTTGTTATTATTATTTTATTTTTTATTGTATTTGTTATTTATTTTATTACTTAATACTTTTTATATACACACATTTTTTTTTATTAAATGTTTAACAATATTTATGATGACACTGATCTTTCCGTATCTTCTTTCAACGACCAAAGTAGCGATAATAGCTTCCACAGTATCCCATCTTTGAATGAGTCTCTTAATTCTTATTTCCCTACAGTCCAGAAGAATTTTAACGTCGTTCACATCAATGCTCAGAGTATTCCTGCACATTATCCTGATTTCTTATCAACTTTTGAAAATGTCAATGTTCATGCCATCTTAGTATCGGAAACCTGGTTTAAACCTTGTCTTCCGTCTACTGCATACTCTTTACCAGGATTTCAATTGATTCGAAATGATCGCACGGGTCGGACTGGCGGTGGTGTTGCCGTTTATTTACGCTCTCACATATCCTATAACATTGTGAAACAATCGCACCTTACCAATAATACTGGCCCGGAGTATCTTTTTCTTGAAGTCATCCTATCTCACACTAAAGTCCTACTTGGCGTCTATTACAGTCCATCGTTAACTATAGATTATTTCGAGTCACTTGAGGTCCTATTGGAGGAATTAACTCCATTGTACAGCCATACTGTTATCATGGGTGATCTTAATACATGTATGCTTAAAAATCATCATCGATCAGCACGACTTAAAGCACTAATAGAATCAGCCAACTTCCATGTACTTCCTTTAACTGCGACATTTTTTCCCTAATTGCAATCCATCCCTTTTAGATTTAATTTTAGTTTCTTCCATTGACCACGTTGATAAACATGGTCAATGCAATGCTACTGCATTCTCTTACCACGATCTTATTTTTCTCTCTTATAAACTTAAACCTCCTAAAGCAAAATCAAGAATCCTTCTCCAACGTAATTTTGCGGGAATGGACCTAGATCGTTTGCGCGAAGATGCTTTAAATATTGATTGGACTGAGGTTTTAAATGCAGAGACTATGGACAACCAGATTGATACATTTAATTCGCTATTGACACAATTATATGATATTCATGCGCCTATTAGACCTGTACGTACTAAACATCTTCCTGCACCCTGGCTTACTGTAGACATTAAAAAGCTTCAAGAAAAGAAAAACATTGCTAAAGCTAAATTAAAAACTAATGCAAGTGATATCAATCGGCAAAAATATGTTAAAGCTAGAAATCATTGCAATAGGGTGTGTAGGGATAGTCAACGACGCCATATTCATAAATCTGTTGTCGAAGAAGACAATACAGTAAAAGTCTGGAACTTTCTTAAATCTCTTGGAGTTGGAAAGGCAAAACAAAATATAACCTCCAAAAATATAGATCTAAATCAATTAAACAAACATTTCTCATCGTTCAGTACAATTGATAGTACAACTAAATTAAGAACTAAAAATCAAATTCTCGCTTTGGCCACTCCTGATTCTCCCATTTTTAAATTTAGTCAATTTACAGAATGTGATGTTCGGAAACACATAGTGGCAATTAACTCTGATGCGGTTGGCTCTGACTGCATTAGTCGTAAAATGATCGTTCCTTTATTAGATATATTGATCCCTGTCATAACTTCCATGCTTAATTTTTCTATTAATACTGGCTGTTTTCCATCCGCATGGAAAGATGCTCAAGTAATACCTTTACCAAAAAAAAACAATCCCACTACTTTCTCCGACTATCGTCCTATTTCCATTCTACCCTTTTTATCCAAAGTGCTCGAGCGCCTTGTACATCATCAACTAAGTAATTTCCTTTCAAATCATAATCTACTGAATCCTATGCAATCCGGCTTTCGTTATGGTCACAGCACGACTACTGCACTCGTTAAAATAACAGATGACATCAGACTAGGAATGGAAAATCAACAAGTCACAGTTTTGACACTATTAGATTTTAGTAACGCTTTTAACACTGTTGATTTTGATATTCTTCTTGCTACATTGTGTTCTCTTAACATATCTCCAGATGTGATTGACTGGTTTCACAATTACTTGTATGGTCGCCGGCAACGAATCCGTATTCACGATTCTTGCTCTGAATGGATTTCGCTACATGCCGGTGTTCCTCAAGGTGGCGTGTTGTCTCCTCTTTTATTTTCTATATTTATTAACTCTCTCTGTAACTATATTTCTTCTCCCTACCACCTCTATGCAGATGATCTACAAATCTACCGCCAAACGACCGTATTAAACTTAACTCAAACCATCGATCATATTAATACTGACCTACTTAATATTTCGCAAAAAAGTAAATCATTAGGCTTAATAGTGAATCCAGGTAAAACACAAGCTATAATTATAGGTAGTTCAAAATTAAAATCAAAAATATCTTTATCACAATTACCACCTATTATGCTTGACGGTATACAAATTCCTTACAGCGATAAAGTGAGAAATCTAGGTATTATATTGGACGAGACATTATCTTGGAAGTCACAGGTGGGCGAAGTGAGCAGAAAAATTTTTGCTGCCGTTGCATCATTACGTCGCTTACGCAACTTTCTACCCATTCGCACTAAAATTGCCTTGGCTAACACTCTTTTATTACCAATTCTTGACTATGCTGATACTTGTTACCTCGATTTAAGAGAGGAACAGTTAAATAAACTTGAGCGAATTCAAAATCTCTGCATTCGGTTCATATTTGGACTTCGTAAATATGACCACGTTTCCGAATTTCGTAAAAAGCTCAAGTGGCTCCCTATCCGTCTTCGCAGAAATACTCACGTTCTTTGTCTTTTATATAATATTCTATTTAATCCCTGTACACCTCAGTATCTTAAAGATAGGTTTAAATTATTAAGTGATTCTCACCATTTTTCTCTTCGTTCTAACCTTAATCTAACTTTACAAGTTCCCTCACACTCTTCTTCCTTCTATACTCGCTCCTTTACTGTCCAATCTGTCCGTCTGTGGAACTCGTTACCAAATAAAGTAAAACAGGCTGATTCGCTGTCACTAATTAAAAAATTAATAAATGAATATTATCTTAACTTATAAGTGCTAAATGGTGTCATATTTTATTTTATATGTATAATGTATATATGTGTGTATGTATGTATGTATGTATGTATGTATGTATGTATGTATGTATGTATGTATGTATGTATGTATGTATGTATGTGTGTATGTATGTATATATATGGTATATATGTATATATCTGTTTGTATATGTATGTATTTATTGTATCTCTCTTTAAGATTGTTTGCACCCCTTCCTTCTCTCTTCTTTCTCTCTACCCAAAGGTCTCTGTTCTAGGCATAGAATAGATCGCTCTCTAGCGATAAGGCCGCCTATTGTACTATATTCCTTTAATCTGTTTCATCTATATAATGTAAAATAATGGTGTGCAATAAAGAATATTTCATTTTCATTTCATTTCATTTTTTATTATTTCTCACTTCTTGTGTAATGTTTTCTTCCCATTCTCTCGCCGGCTTAATTCTATATATTTATGTGTTTGTCTTTTTCTCTTGGGGACCATTAAAATATTACGTAAGCGTCAAAGGCCCCCCCTTTGGGTCTTTGCTTTGCTTATTTTTTATGACATGGGACACGGGGGGTTGGGGGGGGGGTCTCTGTGCATGGTGTTTACGTCAGCAAAATTTATTTATTTAATTTTATGTATTTACTGCAATATTTAATAATTTCGATTCGTCCAATAAAAATATAATAAATGTACTTTAAATTCCCCTATAGCCTATAAATACCTTATTTCTAGACTTGATGATAGCTGCTGCTTATGAATAACAATAAAAAACCTGAACAGATTAAAAAATATATGTACCAATGTTTACGTAAACATATGAGGGGGAGTAAGAACTTTGCTTACTTTTGCTGACAAGGGGTACGGAGGGGTTAATAATTACTAAAATTCTGCTTACGTAATACTTGAATGGCCCTTGCCGCATTTACGTTTCATCGAGTTTCAAATCACAACGATTCTATAGAAATTTCACTTCAAAAATTCCCGACAGTCAAAACTGATTCATCCGATTTGCATCAAACATAGCTAAGAACCATCCCGATAAAGCTAACTTTCAATAAAAAAACTTTCATTGAAATCCACCCCTTTAGGAGCTATTGTGCCACAGACACAAAGACAAACGTGAACACGTGAAACTTATAACACCCTGTTTTCGTCGTGGTTAAAAATGAAGTTCCTAACTGGCTACCACAACATGGCCGCGGCAACCAGGCTGCCTAGTGCGTGGTGAGTCTAAAGCAATACAAAAAAATGTGAATTGAATGAAAAAAACACATAATGAAGTTTTTACAGATTTTAATGTATAATATTACGTTTTGTTAATTAATGCTTTAATAGTGCAAAATTATATCCTAAATAGAGTAAAGTATAATATATTTTTAAGAGGCAACTCTAGTTTCTTATTGACTTAGCTATCTCTAGGTAATAAATTAATTTAGTAAAAAAAAATAGTTTAGCAATTTTTTCTATCTATCACTAAGTTTATATAAGTAAAATAAATTTTAAATTTATTTTTTACATAAGATACTTACAGCCGCAATAACATTAAGAATTGTGATGTTATCTTGAAGAGTGCCGTTGCTAGATTCGTCGAAATACCAACTTCGTTGTGTTCTGTACGACACTGAACCGTTTTGAGGGTGGAATGTCACATTTACATGCTTTCGATGTTCCTTAAAACGGTACGGACCTGGAAACAAAAATTAAATTAAATCTTAACTATTCCATGGCGTTGTAATCCTACTAATATTATAAACTCGAAAGTTAGTGAAAATGGATGGATGGATGTTTGTTACTCTTTCATGCAAAAACCACTGAAGGGATTTTGATGAAACTTTACAGTAATATAGCTTATATATTACAGTATCAAATAGGCGATAATTTTAAAGAAAACACTAGTGTTAAGATATATGTAAGTGATATTTTATTATTTTCAAAAATTTCATGGACCAAAACTAAATAATTCTTAATCTTGTAAATTGGATACGTGACAGAGTTGCATTACACTTACCATTTTGTATAATTTAGGAAGACTACGCATAGCAACCAATTAGATGAAATATAAGAAACAAAAACTATTACTATATTATTAGAATATTTTATATTCCACCATATTTGCATGTAAAGGATAAAAAAATATGAATACAAAGAAGTACTTACGTAAGCACTAAATGGGTGAAGCATGACCGTACTTCGGATTTTCTATCATAATCAACGCTAAATTTACACTAGGGACACTAGTACCTACCCAGGACGCCAAGTTGTTAAGGGTGGCAAAATTCGGAGGGTGGGAAAAAAACTCTTCGCGTTATCGAAAATGCTTATTATATACTCCAAAAAATGAATAATTAAAAAAATAACTAATATATTTTTAGAAAAATTGAAATCATTTTTTTACATTTTTCAAAAAATTAATTTAAATTAAAAAAAAATTAACTTTATCAAAACTTTACCCATTTTATGCAAATTTTGATAATTTTGCGGCATTTTTTACTATGCCCAGGGGCGGCGATAAGGTTGAATCTGGAGCTGATCATAATAATAATATCTTATAGTATAAAAGGGCTTTTTAAAATTGATCATAATATGTTTTAGGCAATTATTCAGTCAGGTCATTTAATATGTAGCAAAGAAAAGCTTCTTATGGTCACTATTGAAGAACAAAAAATTATAAATTTACCGAGTTGCATCAAATTTGGTATTTCTTCAGGAAATCTCTCCGCATTGGTCCAATTGAAGAGGTACACGTCAAAGAACAGAGGCACATTAGGCTCCACCCATTCTTTGTGCGCTCTTGATGTCGGCGATAGTTTAATGAGCTGGAAAAAAATATAATACCTTATTTCTATTAAGTTAGCAAACGCTTTGTAAATATTTATGTATGTATTTCATTTGTTTTAGGATGTCGAACAACAACAAACGTGATTTGTAAATAAAATTAAGATTAAGATATATTGCAAAATTTTGGCAGTCACAACTCTCGAAGAGTACATAAAGTTGTCGATCTTCCTCCTGATCTTTCACCACTCGTATGGAACTGTCATCACACCGGTGAAGATTAAAAAGGGCGTTTGTGTCATCATACACATTTCTGCATTATAATAATTTCTTAGCAGTGAGTTTCAGAGAAATTGACTGACGCGATCGAAATTCGTCATGTACGAGGTAAATATTATGATTATGAGGGTTTGACATAAAATACATTTATAATATCTTTTTCAAATCGCTTATACTGCCGTATTAAAAATGGACAGTAGCGATGGGTCGTCGACGTATTTAGTGTGAACGAAACTAGACCGTTCATTTTCTTTCGTCGACTAGTCGATCGACTAGTTCAAATCGTGTACTGTGATCACTTTTCATCAGGTGAGCCTCCTGCCCGTTTGCCCCCTTAGTCCCATAAAAAAAAAACGTACGGTTCAATCTAGATGTAGACGCTAGACAGTCTATGGTTACTAGTTTACGTTGCGAGACGGACTGCCTTAGTCTATGAATTGAACTAGTTCACTTGAAATACGTGAACCGTCGAACCGTCGACGCATTGTCGACCGGTTGATTGAACTAGTCCCTTCATTCAACGCCCATCGCTAATGGACAGTCGATTTTACCTTTTCAATCTTTAGAAACGTGACGACGAAACTCTGCCAAACAAATGTGAATTGTTCTCAAGACCTGACCAATAACAATCGGCTTTTGATATTGGGTAACATTAAAAATAAAGAATAAAATAATAAAATGCTGTCAAAAGATGAAAAAAAAACCTAAAAATAAATCAAACCTATCAATTTATTATATTACACAATTTATATGATATAAAAGCTTGTCGCGAGATTTACCAACGCAGTCCGCCTTTTTTGGGATTCCGCCATATTGTATTTAGAATGACAACACTTAGCTAACCATGCATTGTTAATTAAACTTAACGCGCAGGCAAATTTCAGCCCAATCGGTTGAAGATGCTTTAAAATTCAGCAAGATTTGACCCAAACTAACACGACAAGTTAAATAAAAGGTTGAAAAATGCCCCAGCTCTGAACATATTTGGTGCAAATGCTGCAAAATCTATTTCATTTGTAAAAAGAGAACATTTGCAAAACAATTTTTTTTATTACAAAAATATAGACGATAATCTAATGTATTTGATATTGATAAAAAATGTATTAACATACCTAATTTAAATGTCTAAGCCTTATATCTTTAGTACAAAATTAGATAATGTTCTAATCGTATTAAAATAAATTATTTACGATGTAACAATTTATCTGCCTCGGTGGTGTAGTGGCTAGCATGTACGGCTACACACCCGGAGGTCCTGGGTTCGAGTCCTGGGTCGGGCCAAGTTTAGTTATTGAGTCTTTCTGTATAGTTAGCCTCAGTAACAGCCCGGAGTTGGGAAGTTGGCGGTGTATCACCCCCGTGCCTTGAAGAGCACGTAAAGCCGTCGGTCCTGCGCCTTAACTCTCACTGGTCGTGTCGAGTGGTGGTCCCACCAGAGTATGAGAGTGACAGGAATAGAGAGCGCACTTGTGTCTGCGCGTACACTTGTGCACTATAATATCTCCTGCGCAGTTGGCTAGTCTCAATGAGATTGGCCGCCGTGGCCGGAATCGGTCAGGAGAACGTCAACAATTTATCTCTAAAAAGATAATTATTAGGCATATTAATCATCGCTAATTCATCTTTAGCATATAGTGTATATGTGTATTATACCTAATTATAATCATAGAGTGTGTATACAGGACGAGTATAATAGTGTATGTGGTTTAGTGATGTGAATCAATTCATAATGTAGGAATTTTAAACATATATTTACGTATTACATATGTAATAATAACGTAATATGATAATATGTTTGTATGGAAAATAATATTTCATTTATACGACATACATAGTATTATCAATTTGCATTTTCATGTAGCATCTAAATCCATACTAATATTATAAATGTGAAAGTCTGTTTGTTTGTTTGTTTGTTTGTCTTTCTTTAACGTCGAAATTGTTTGGCGGATTGGCGTGATTTTTTTATGTGGAGATAGTTAGAGGGCTGGAGAGTGACATAGGCTACTTTTTATCGCGGGAGATTATCTCTTTCCCACGGGAAAATACACGTTATAATACAATCCAAAATATTATTTTTAATCAGAATTACTTAAAACTTGGTATTAATGAAAAATGCTATTAATAATGCTATTTTACCTCTTTATGGAATAAATGAAATTCATTCCATAAAGAGGTAAAATAGCGGATGAAAATTTGTATGAAACCTACCATTTTAGAGCTTCTTTTGTAGTTTTAGCGCGAGCGAAGCCTGCTAGTATGAAATATTGGATCCCTAATCTAAGATAGAGAGTCGAAGAATGACCGGCTTTTGTCACTCAGGAGAAACCTGAAGGCGATAGAGGATTACAATTGGATGATCGGATAATTTGATAATCGCTTGCAAAGCTGGATGTTGATATCAGCAAGAGGTCCACGTAAATAAATTTCTCATTTATATTTATACTAATCATTTTTATTTATTTACTATAGACTTGCCCTCACTTGGTCGGCGTATACATAGATATAAATTATTATTAGCCAGCTTTGAAATGTTATTTTCTTCGTGAATTTTTCCAATGTTTTAATAGTTATTTTGTTATTTTGCTTATCCAACAAATCAAAGATCATAAAAATTGGTCCAGCCGTTCTTGAGTTATAAATGGTGTAACTAACCCGACTTTGTTTTATATAATATACAAATTTATTATGGATCGTCGACAAAAAATACATTATTACGTGGTTATTCAAGCTACCATTAGTACATTAACATAAATATATTTTTTTTGCATATAATAAAATAGTGATAAATATCATACAACAAGAATAAATTAATTAGAATAATATCCAATTAAAACATTACAATAAAATTAAATGAACATTAAATATTTTTTGGAAAATCTTATAGAAATAAACATTATTATCGATACAGAGGCTGAATCTATAGTTTTTAGAATTTTTGTCTGTTTGTCTGTCTGTTATCGCATCACAGAAAAACCACAGGAGGGATTTTGATGAAATTTGGTATGGTGATAGCTGGTTATCCGGGTCAACATATAGGGTACTTTTTACTGAGAAAAATTACAAAAAACTACAATGTAAGAGTATACTAATATGTAAAACCTAAGAATTTGGTTTTTGGTAATTTAAACGCGGGCGGAGCCGCGGGCAATGCTAGTATAGGTATATTTGAAAAAAAAAAATTTTTAAATTGACGTAACAATTCTCTATTTTCACTTCTCTTTCCAACTAGCACAGTCAAAATGAAGTTAGTAATGGTTATACTTGTTTTATATTTTGTTCATTACTGCCTGCTTGAAAGCTTAGACATTGCTTTAAGTGTGTAAGACAAAATGTCTTCGATTAAGAAGATCAAAGCTTGTCCTACAATTTTGTTACATTATTTATTTGCACAACCTTGATCTTTATTGAGGATTAATCAAACAGACCAACTCTATACATGCAATGATAGAGATCAATCAAACTTGTTACGTAAATTGTGACCACTTCTATAAGTGGCTAGTGCCCATATCCTTCGGAAATTAGCGCTAATCGTTTATTGATGCATATTAAAATGTCTTATATAGTGGTTGCAAGTAGCGTCAATTGATAAGGTCTTGAAAATTCAGTTTTAAGATGCCATTAATACGCAGTTTTCGAGCTTTAAATTTACAAACTGTATGTTAGTGTTCTAATAGAAATATATACACATAAATATATATACTTTAATTTAGTTACTTCTAATAAGTAATAATAAGTAAGTAACAGTAACATGGCGATGAAGATGAAAACTTCTTTAGCCCCCCCTGATTTGAAACACGATGAAACGAAAAAGCGACATAAAAAAGAGACAAACACATACATCTATAGGATTTATCCTGTGAGAGAATGAGATGGAATAATTAAACGTTGTTTCCTACATTTTCTTTCGTTAAAATTCGAAGTTTATATAAATAAGGTTGTGTAATATATATGTGAATACAATCCATATTCATACTAATATTATTAATGTGAAAGTGTGTTTGTTTGTCTTTCTTTCACGTCGAAACGGAGAGACGGATTGGCTTATTTTTTTGTGTGGAGATAGTTGGAGGGCTGGAGAGTGACATAGGCCACTTTTTACCGCGGGAGATTATCTCATTCCCACAGGAAACACGTTATAATACAATCCATAAAAATATTTATGATGAGAATAACTTGAAGTTTGTTAATAATGCTCTTCAATAAAATTAAATAAATACGTGTTTTATGTAGTTTTAGCGCGAGCGAAGCCGCGGGTTCTGCTAGTATTTATGTTGTGGTGTAGTGGCTGTATGCCATATTCCCGACGATTTGACTGGGATGCACCAGCCGTAGTTACGGGGTGAGTCTGTGTAGTGTAATTATTTGCTAATATATTATCATAAATAAACCCTACAATTATCCTACTTCTGAAATTCCACAATCGTCTCCATGAAGTTTACTTTTTTGAAGGTTTCACTTCTACTGCGTGTGAATTGCGCACATGTTTTGCGAAAATTTGCGTAATTTTTGAAAAGACACGTCTATAGGTAATTTAATTAAAAAATCCAATTTCCAGGCACTCAAATGTAAAAAAAAACTAAACGGGGGTTTTCGTTTAGAAAAGATACCTAATCAAATATTTTCGAAGTCGGTGCCGGCCGATGCAAAGCAAATCTAATATATTTCGACACGTAAATTGATGTATAATATTAACTATAAGAAGAGTTCATACCTAAACATATTTACCTATTAGACATTCATATCTTAAAATATTGTCGGCTGGCACCGACTTCGAAAATTTCTGATTAGGTACCGTATCTATTCTGAACGAAAACCCCCGTTTAGTTATTTTTTACATTTTAGTGTCTGGAAGTCGGTTTTTATATATTTTTTTTAAGTTTTTATTTCCGTTTTTAGTTTTGTAGACGTAATAAGCAGGTAATTTTGAAGGATAAAGTTTTGTAAAAAACATGTTCGATTAGGATTTTTTTTTAAATATTATTGTTGATTTGAACCACCTGGAAGTGTACCCTTCGAAACAAAAAAAAATCCAAATCGGTTCAGGCGTCTTCGAGTAATCGGTGAACATTCATAAAAAAGATTCCTACGAATTGAGAACCTCCTCCTTTTTGGGAGTCGGTTAAAAAGCAAAATCTTATCTAAACACAAAATTTGATCCAACCGTTAGAGCCGTTTCCGAGATACACTAAATATAATATAAATATACAACAATTGTTCAATTAATATAAAATAAGATAAAACAAAATTATAAGACGAAATAAAACTAATAAAGTTCACTTTTTAGAGAAAAAATATATTTAAAAGAGAATTGAACATGTTCTGTAATAAAGATATGAATTGAAAAATTAATAGCAATAAATAATTTACTATATATTACTTAATAAGACAATGTTTTTGACATGTTACTAACCTTGGAGATTGAACTGAGCTTATCTTTTTCCATTTAATTATTACAATAAATATCATGTGTGCGTATAATTGGTATTTTTATTGTGTCTAAGGTCGCGGGTTCGATTTTTTCGTGGAGGAGATAAATGTTTATAATAAGCGTATATTTGTTTGCCCTCAATATGTAGGTGCACTGTTCCCATTGTCTTATCACTTAATAAGGTACTACAATGTAACCTAATTATATAGTACTAGCAGAACCCGCGGCTTCACTCGCGCTAAAACTACCAAAAAAACTCTAAAATGGTAGGTTTCATACAAATTTTCATCCGCTATTTTACCCCCTTATCAAGCCGTTTCGACGTGAAAGTAAGACAAACAAACAAACACAAACAAAAACAACAAAACACTTTCACATTTATAATATTAGTATGGATAGTTAGGTGACATTGTAAAAAAGTTGCTTTATCTAAAAAAAACTTATTTTGTTCTTTGGTATGGAAATATCTATCTCAGAAATCGTGGATGGAACGAAAGGGCGGTACCGCAAGTGTCATGGAGGATGACCACATCCTCGTGACTACTTCGAACCCGCAACCGCTGGCACAGCAAGTAGGGTCACTACAAACTGAGCCAAACGTGTCGTCTATTATGATAAGTACTGAAGCCTTACATTAAGCGATGTTTGTTGGTCATGCTCATCTTCTGTAAGACTAATGGTATACTAAAAATAAAAGTCGAGAGAATGCCAGGCTAAAACATTCGTTGTTGCGATCCACAGTGGCCGAGCATGGATAAGGCAGCCCTATGTATATCTTTTACTATTTTTCTAAGGGTAAGTAAAGGGAATGATGATGGAATCCCCATATTTTGCTGGGTCTGAAAGTTTTTCTATAGCATATACAGCCTAAAGCGCGTAAAGTATGCTTGGACCAGCCTAACATGTGGGCGTTATGATAGTTTGAAAATGCAAGCCCATGGCAAATCATTAAAGTGAAAAGAGGTACGATCTTTTTGTCGAGCTCCATATCTCCATCTATATTGGTTGGTTCTCTATAATAAATGTGTAAAAGTATATAGGTTATTTTTAAAAGACTTGCTAACGCGGTGAAATAATATATCGCTCGTTTCGAAAGATCATAATAATAAAGTAAGAACTTAAAACACGAAATGTCTACGTAAAAAAAAATTACCATCTTACAAACAAAGCATCATAACAATTTCGAGGCAGATTGCCAGTATTACATAGATCCTGTTTGTCATGTACTTACAGTATTAAAAACAGATTCAAATATCGCGTTCCACGCGAGCGCAGTAGCAAGGGCCGCGACCCCGCAGAGGGCGGCCACGCACACGCCGACGCGTCGGCATTGGGGCGTGCGTCCACGCATCACGCTCTTAGTAGTGATTTCGTTCGATCTGAAAAAATACTTCCTATTAAATATTATATTATAAAAAAAGTTTTGATCAAATGTATGGATGTAGATTTGTTTGTATGTATGTATCAGCCCTTTTTAACATCCCACTGCTGGGCTCGGGCCTCCCTTCAATAAGAGGGGGACCAGGCCATAATCCACCACGCTGGCCAAGTGCGGGTTGGCGGACTTAATATGTCTTTCGAAAACTTGCTAAGTTCTCTCAGACATGCAGGTGTCCTCATGATGTTTTTATTCACCGTAAGACAAGTGGTAATCATGTAAGAAATGCTTTGCATATGAAAATATCAGAAGTGCACGATCCGGGATTTGAACCCGCTTCACTCGGTTTCCCAAGCGAGCGCGTTACCACTGGGCTGTCAATGCCTTGTACATTTATTACCTAACTATTATAAATGCGAAAGTTTGTATGTTTGTTGAAACTACTCCTCCACGTTGAAACTGTTAGACGGAATAGCATGGAATTTAGAAATAACCAAAGGTACACTTGGGTGATGACGGTAATAAAATTTGCCAAAAGATGGCGCTGCCTGCATATAAAATAATTACCGCAAAAGCAATTAAGGTCGCGAAGGTAAGTCGCCAATTATAAATATTTTTTTTGGATATTGATTACATATTAATATATAATATACCTACACATAGTTTGATGTACACCGCAAGATATCAATTAAACACAAAGATAACAATTATACGCAAAAAAGAAATGAAACGTGAAGCACAAGGCGGTCTTATCGTTAATTAGCGATTTCTTCGAGATAACCTTAGGAAATGCAGAAGATTAAATTGTCAAAATGTTCGTATAATAATATACCAGCGACGAACCGTCATTTCGCTTCGGGTTCGTAGCCAGACAAAAACAAATCTATCCCACGGGATAGATTTGTTATCATAGTTCATTAGACCAAAATTACAACATTCCTATTTTAAAAACTCCAATAGGATCCCATCAAAATCGACGAAAACCACATAAAAACCAATACATATTTATTGGTTTCTATGTCACTTTTGTCGCTTTTGATGGGATTCTATTGGAGTTTTTCAACAGGGATAATACTATACTTTCTATATATATATATATATATATATATATATATATATATACAATATATATATATATATATATATATATATTTGACTTATTTCCACGTAATTTATTCTCGTAGGATAACATTCCAACAGTAATAATATTTAATAATAGATTAATTTTGAACATATAAGAATATGGTAATGCGGAAACTTTAAAATCAAAGATAGAACACAAAAGCAAACATAGTATTATGATTTATGATAATAAAATTCAATTAAGTATATGAATAAATAAACTACATAACTAACTGTATTAGTACATACTAACTACTATTATTTTACTATTATTAATTACTACTGTACTGTAAGTCACTACATTTTATAGTTTTTAGATACCCTATATTCATAGTTCTTTAAAATTGTTGAATTTATTTCGCCAGTTGTTCTCAGAAGTGAGTTTTGCTTCCGAACTAGTGGTATACGATGAACATGACGATTAGCAAAAAAAATTTTTTACTTCGAAAGGCTATTTATTTTGCCACAAACAAACAAAAAACCTCGAAGAAATAGTGACTTTTAAAAAAATCAAGTTTTATTTATCAAACATTAATCAGGATACACAGATAAGATAGGTTTTTAATAAATTAGGTTCAAATATATTTTTTATGTTAATATGTTGTCGTTTAGCTCCATTGTTTTACTTTGAGCTTTATACATTAGAATATACGACTCAGTTTACTTTACTCAACTATTTTATACTGTTTCGATTTATGTGTTTTCGAAGCGAGATACTCCTCTCATATAAATATACAGCATAAATTGTCACTTTTTCAACCTTATATCCGGTAGCTTTATGTTCGTAAACATTTTATACTAGCGTTTTCCTGCGGCTCCACCCGCATAGTACATTAATTATCATATACTAAAACCTTCTCCGAAACACGCTGCATCTTATGGTATAAGTATTATTCCGATTGGTTCAGTAGCTATCGCAGTATAACCAAACATAAAAATCGACATTTATTAGTATAGATGTCGGGATAAAAAGTATACTCGTATTCTCCAATCATAAACTATTTTTACGCAAACTATAATTCTGATGTGCTCAGCCCTTAATTAATGAAATTTGAAAACTGACATGTGTACTATTAGGTATATACAATCACAGAGATTAATATTAATTACTTAAATATGTACATATATTTATTGTCTATGGTTTACAATAAATTACATTTACAATTTTACATCCCTATATTAATTTTATATTTCAAATATCATTCAAATCCATTAGGAATTTTCCACTATATTAAACCTTTATTTTATTCTTCATACCTCTAAGGGATTACATTGCCATGAAAGACACAATACCCCACGAGGGACGTACTCACATTTATTGAACACTACTAATAGAATTAATGAATTAAAATTTGCATTTACATATTGTCTGCACTATTTAGTATTTACTTTAAAATATTACCTGTACCCCAGGGTAGAAGCCTTTCCCCCCCCAACGTGCGTTCACCTTGTCGTGGTGGGGGGGCTCAGTAGTGTACTCACGAAGCCAAGAAACGCACAGGGAGGAGGCCCGCTTCGGTGGGCGGTGGGAGGCGGCCTTCTTCGGAGGGTGGTATACCATGCGGGTTGCTCCTGGTACTTCTCTGATAGCAGAGTGGACCGTGGAGCAACCCCATGGTTGTTGTGGTCTGCTTCGGCAGACCTGCCGTCGGGGCGTCGTAGTTGAATGCGTAAGCGATCCTGCGACGCCCCATTAAGACGGGGGAAGGTTTTGTTGGGTTTTAGTGGGTAGTACTGGCTTCGCCGGTGAGTCCCACACTTCGTGCGTAAATGCATTTTCCAACGTTAAAAAAAAAAAAAGGGTAGAAGCCTTTAAAAATAATAAAAAGTGAAAAATAAAATAATAGTAGGATGCAACCCATTAGAAAAGAAGGGGAATATTATAAAAATGAAAGGAAAAATAATTTACGGGCGATCTGAGGTCGGGAAGGTGGTGGGGGGGAGCTTTTAAGGGTAAAAAACGGTTTTTCTCGATTTCCGGCAAAACTAAAAGTCCTATCGAAAAAAATTGAATGGCAAAGTTGTAGGTAATAAAAAGATCTAAAACTTTTGTATTTACACTTTTTTCGCATAACCTCAAAATTTATGTGAAAAATTCAAAAAACCAAGTTTTTGGTTTTTTATTTTTATTTTTATTTTCTTTTACAAAAATGTTTTTGTTTTAACGAAATTTGGTGAAAACTTACCTTTTTATGTCCCAAATACGCTGTAATTTATTTGATTAAAAATATTTATTTTTTCACCTTATTTTAAATAAATATCGAAAAAGCACCCTAATTTGCAATCGAAAATTCACCCGTCAAAATATCAGCTTTTTTCAAAAAGTTGGTGTGTTTTCTATTCGTTGAAATCTCTACTTTCCGATGGTGAAAAAAATATATGTTACCATAGTAAATCTTCTGAGAAAATGCAAAAAACAAAAAACTTTTTACCCCCAGGAGTATACCCCCATGAAAAAAATATATTAAAGAAATAAATGTCAAAATGTATAAAAAATATATTATAAATATATTAAAAATCTATACTATGCATATTTTTTATATATTTATACATACCTCACCCCCTTCCCGACCTCAGATCGCCCGTAAATTATTTTTCCTTTCATTTTTATAATATTCCCCTTCTTTTCTAATGGGTTGCATCCTACTATTATTTTTTTTGGTTTCAAAAATTATCGACTCTGGTCTACTGTCCCGACTGACTTATGATTACTTGTGGGATATAATCCACTCTATGAAGATAGATGGTACGTACCATTATAAAACTAACATATTTATTTCAGATTTCTGAACTATTTATAACCGACGTCCCAAAACGAGAAGGTTCTCAATTCGTCGGAATCTTTTTTTTATGTATGTTGGACTTCAAATATATGTAATTATACAATATATATGTAAATGACACCCCCCGTTTAGTTATTTTGTACATTTTAGTGCCTGGAAGTCGGTTTTTATTTATTTTTTAAGGTTTTTATTATGCTATAATTTATTAAGTTGTTGCTACTTTGATGACTGATTGAGGACAATTCCTCAGCATTTATAATAAGTAAGGAATAACGCTATTGATTACTGTGACTGCTTATGATTTTTATCCCTGTATAGGTACGTTTTTGTTGATACAGCAACCGCTGTGTATGAGCCTTTGCTTAGGAGCGATTAGAATGAGGAGCTGAAGCCTTATCTTGTGATCTATTCATCGACGTCCAGATCAGACCACTCGAATTAATGTTTTGATCACATATTCCTTAAATGACAAAAATGTTAATCACTAAGAAAAATAAATTGAAATTTAACTTCTGAGGAGAGATTTTCAGGGTTTGTTAAATTAATTTGGATATAATCGATTTTTTATACTTAATTATTACAATCGAGATAAAAAATAGAATTTTTATTTCAGCATTTTTCTGAAAATTTTTCTTTAGAAACAAATTGAGATCCAAAATAAACTTTGAATTTGCATTTTTTACCATATTTCTTTCTTTTTTTGGAAGTCTATACAGATAAATGACATTTAAGTGTCTGTTTGTAATGTCAAAACAACAGTTTTTACTAAATGCATATGAAATTATATATATACGGTACTTTTAAGATAAACACAATTTTTAAAATATCTGTCTGTTTGTACGCTTCCGCTAATCTCTGAAACGGCTGGACTGACTTTGATAGGTCTTTCACTGGCAGATAGCTAATGTTATAAGGAGTAACTTGGGCTATTTTTATTTTAGAAAAAGAATTAGGGTTCAGCTCAAAAAAATTAAAACGTACCTAGGGACGCATCCGTGCAAAGCGAGGCTCAGTCGCTAGTTTAAAATAAACAAACAAAAGACTACTAGACTAAGCCGGGCACAATTATTATATTAGAAAATTAGTACATTAGAAT